TCAAAATGTCTTGTGCACCGGGATTCCGAGTCTGATCGAAGGGTCCCGCGATGGAGGATTGTCTCCACGGATCGTGAGCTTGTCATGGGCTAAGTTGGGACACCCCTGCAGGGTTTAAACTTTCGAGAGCCATGCCCGCGGTTACGTGGCAGTTGGGAATTTGTTAATATCCGGGTGTAGAAGACTTGAAGTAAACTCAATTTCAAATACACCAACCGCGTGCATAGCCGGACTGTCTCTTTTCGGGTACGTTCAAGAAGAGAACATGGTTGGGTTATGTTTGAACGTAAGTAGTTCAGGATCACTTATTGATCATTACTAGTTGGCGACCATTTGCGTAGCTTCTCATCTTACTCTTGTACTCATGAGTTAGCCACCATACATTGCTTAGTCTCTGTTGCAACCTCACCACATTACCACTTCCTTACCTATTAAGCTTTTCTAGTCTTGATACCCATGGTAATGGGATTGCTAAGTCCTCGTGGCTCACAGATTACTACACTAACAGTTGCAAGTACAGGTAATGCGATGATCATGACGTGAGAGCCATATTTGCTTGTGTTGGAGTTCTTCTTGTGCTTCTTATTCGTTCCGGGGATAGGTTCCTAGTCGGTAGCTTGGGCTAGCTGGGTGGATGACGTTTGAGCTTCATTTGTGTTTCATACATAGTCGGATGTTGTTCTATGTATGATGTATTGGTGTATTCTTGTGGCATTGTATGCCTTTTGTATGTATCCCAAATATTATGTAATGGTACGATGTAATGATATCCACCTTGAAAAAGCATGTCAATATGTGGTTCTATCCTTGGTGGGACCTTTGAGTCCCTTTAGGATAGTGTCGCATATTGGGCGTGACAAGTTGGTATCAGAGCCTCGACCGACCATAGGAGCCCCCTTGATTAATCGTTGACGTTGTTAAGTCTAGAGCAAAACTTTTTGAGTCTTAGGAATATATCTATCGGAGAGTAGGATTTCTTTTTACTCCTCAACCCCTTCGTTGCTCTGGTGAGGACTCCTAATGTAGATGTTTTAACATTCCTCTCCCCAATTTTCACTAAAAAAAATTAGGATCACGCGGGTATCTTGGAGTCGTTCCGATGATTTTATGACGAGAACATTGTTCTTGGTGCCTCCTGTCATTTAGGGTTTGTGGCAGTGTCCCGGGGAGTTGAGCTCCGAGGTGTTGTCGTCACAATTTTATCGTTGTAGTTCCGGTATACCTGAGTTTTGCCGACTTTGAAAATCTCTTATATGCAGTTAGTGGTGAGATAACCTCGACGCCACCCAGTACTTGGGCGGGAGTTCAGGAGTGTTGCCACAACTCGTATATCGGATGCTTTTCGAAGGTTGAGGTACATGATTTCCAGAGTTTTCTTGGTTATGTTTTGACGGATGGATACAGTTGGAGCGTAGGGCTTGCTAGTTGTGTGATATATATTGTGCCTCCTTGTATCCCCAACACCAGATTGCATAACCAGAAAGTTTCGGGAGTTTTTAGGTGGGAATTCAAGTATCTCGTAGGATATCTTTTCAACAGACACATGATATGATATGGGTTCTATCATATGTTTGTTCCGGCTTATTCTGCAAGCCAATCCTTTGTCTTGTTTTGTGTTGTGGTATTCAAGTTGCTTCAATGTCAAGTGTTGATTCCATAACTTTTCTAAGCGGTGTTCTCATATTTCTATGGGAGTGCTAATCGTTCTTGATCATCGAGATGGTCATGCCAATTCTTTTCCATCCGACGTGCTTCTCTTCAAGTGGATCCGATCATTTTCAACATCCGCAAGATCAATTCTAAGTTTTCTGAATGGTGTTTGTTCCATCCATCCCAAGTTGTCTTTGTTTTTCCCGCCCTCCCACCCTTTTTTTCTTCAAGGATTAGGATTTCATAATCATGTACCCTTTATTTGTGAGAAGTCTCTTCAGTCTTTTCTTTCAATGTTCTTATCCGATGATTCTCAGGAAGATCCTTAGGAAGCTTCAAGTTTATCATTCTTCATTCTCATATTATTTTCCGGTGGATTCAATTGAAGCTCTGATGTTGATCATAGCCCTTTCCCATTTCAAGTGCTTTCTTATGCCGGTGTATCTCTTAATCGTTCACCTATCGCTTTCCATTTGTATCCGGAGTGTTGAAGATATCCCGGAAGATTCACGTTTCCATTCTCAATCCGTTCAAGTTATTTTTAGGGTGTTATCTCATTCAAGCCATTTAATTCAACCGGTGCAATATCCCTTTCAAGTAATCGTCCAACAGTGTATTTTTGAGTGGGCCCTAACCCACATGTCTTTTCCCAGGATCTTACCTGACTCTTCTAATTTATCCGGAGTGATTCCCAAATTCTTTTCAAAAGTGTGACGTAAGAATGAATTGTCATCAATCATATGTCTTTCTCCAAGATCTTTCACATTCTTTTCATTGTTGGTTCAACCTCTCTATTCTTTATTGTTCCAGAGTGGCTCAACAATTAATGGTGGTGTTTATCATCACCATTCTTAGTTTTTTAAGACCGAAGAAGAATTTTTTCCAAAATCTTGGTCCGTTCTCTTGAATATTTGTGGTTCTAGCTTTATGCCATCCTCTCATAATTGTTTTCGATTGTGAGAATTCTTTTCACCCATCCGTAGCAACTCAGGAGTCCTTTCATTTTAATTCTGCAGAGCCCATCATCTCAGAATTTTTCATTCTCAACCTTTAGCTCTCGTTCTCCAAATCTTACCGGTGCATCGTTGAAGTATTCTCTAGTCAGTTCGTGATCTCTTCATTCTCTTGTATCTAAATTCCCACAAGTAACTTCACTCGTTTTCTAATTCTTCCCGGCGATTCATTCTTTATCTTCATTGATTTTCAGATTCTTACGGTGGTTCGTCCAAAATTTCTCTTGCGTTGTTATCATATCAATCATCCATTCTTTCCAAAATCCTACCTGTGAGTCGTTCAAGATTTTATCAAGTTTGTGCTATATCTCTCATGAATCCTTTTCAACAGGAATAAGTACTAAGCCAAATCCATTGTGGGTCATCAATTTAATTGATGAAGGATAAGCATAATGTAATTCTTATTCTTGTTTCATCGAGTAAATTCAATTGCTTCTTCCGGAGTTCGTTCGTGAAATCAAATTCTTGGTTCTAAGTGATTCATCTTTTCTTTTCTGGAGTTCCAAGTTTTCCTCGGTTAACTCATCATGAAGCTCCACCTAATCATTCCAAGGTTTCACCTTGTGTTTTCAACTTCTCTTTCCTTTTGTTTGATCATTCTTTTGTTACCGGTGTTTTCACGAAGGCTCAATATGGTGGTTCATCAAAGATTTAATTCATTCTCGAAGTGTTCTTCAAGACACTTGTTGGTGGAGTTCAAGTATTCTTCATCTTGCATTCCCAAGTGCAGTTCTTTCTATCTTATCTTTTGAGGTGGTGTTATGTCATTCTCGACAATTTCCTTCGTGTTTCATGATTCACAAGTTTTCAAGAGTGATATATTTTAAATCCATCATTTTCAATTTGTCATGAGATATTTTTCAACCCAACAATTTCTTCGTCGGTCTTATCTTGGTATAGATTACACCTAAAGCCTTCCATTAGAAGTGTTTCCATTATGGTGCTTATCTATGATCCAATTTCTGCTTCTCATCTCGATGAAGGAGTTTTCATCTCTTCGTGATCTGAATCGATCATTGTTTTGTTATTGGTCGGTGGTCACCTCATAATTTTGAGACGTCTCCATAAGCCCACGAGGATCATATCCTTTCATATTGGTCTTCAAACAACTCCATTCAATCCTTCTTTTAAGGATGCTCTCTTAAATTCATTTCAGGTAGAACATGTTGTTTTCTTCTCCGTTCTTTTGATTCCATTCTTACATTTGTTCCGGTGGCATTGGGATGTTAATCTCTTCGACCCATCATCTCATTTTGTAATATCATGTTCTTTTCCTTTCTTATCCATTTCGCCGGAGTGTTGTCTTTTCATTCGAGTTCTTTCCATCTTATCAAGTCTTGCATCTCTTTTCAATCAGAGTGCTATTTGAATTTCTTCTTCCTTGTTCCTTGTTTATCTTGTTGCAACCGGCGTGGCTTCAATTCCTTCTTGTCCATTATGCTCGTCATTGATAGCTCTACAACCTCCAAGGTTGACATGGTGTTCCTTTTTTCTCTTTTCTACCAGAGTGCTCTCAATTTCTCTCAACTATGTTGTATTCTTCTTTCAAGTTTTCAACCTCTAAAGGTTCATTGGTTTCACTCGTTTGTCAAGAAGCAATTTTTTACCTCTTCTTCTTCTTCCGTTTCTCCCCGGTGCCATCCTTAGATCTCGAGTCGAGATCTCTTGTAAGTGGATGAGAGTTGTGACGCCCCAAGACCGGCGCTCCAGATGCCTTCAATGGATTCCGAGTTTTGTCGTGTGTTTTGTTTTGTTTGTTGCTTTCATCATTGCATCATTTGCATTGCATCATGTCATCATGCCATCATGTCTTTAATCTTTGCAAGTCTAAATAAATTGTGTGGATCTTTGATCCATTTGAATCGAAGGAAATTCACATGGTGAAATTCTCTTTAAAACATATCCTCGCAATATTTAGCGAGCTATAATAAATATCCCGTTAATTTTTGGAATCACCCATAAACACACTTGCAAATAATCACATGCCTTTTTCCGCTTCAAGTTTGGTCCCCAAACTTCTCCTGTAAATTCTTTCGCCACTTTCCCGAGCTCCACCTAAAGTCTCAAATTTTTGGAGACTTCTCAAACCCGTCCTAGTTCAAACCATTTGGATTAAATTCAAATGATTTTGAATTTAAATCTTGCATTCATGCCCACTCCTATTTTCTTGGACCATGCACATTTTTTGAGTCTAGGAAAATTAACCATATGCCCAAGTTCTTTCCCTAACCCTCTCTTTCTTTTCTTCTCTCTATTTCTTTTCTGCGGAAGAATAAAAGAAGAGATTAAAAGAGTGAGAGGGAGAGAACAACCCAACTGGGCCTCTCAGCAGCCCATCTACGGCCTCCCTAAGGCCCAACCACTGCCATCTAAACCCCAGCCCGCACCCCTTCTAACCCTAGGCTGACCCCTCTTCTCACCCACTCCCTCTCGTCCTCCCGCTACCGCCACCACCCACGCACGCACGTTGCCAGCGCCAAGAAAGGCCAGCATGGCCGATCCCCTCGCCCTCTCCTCGATCCCCGCCACCCCACCTCGCGTCGGCAGCCCCGTGCACCCCAACCTCCTCCTCGCCCCATGCAGAGCCCTCGTGCCTGCGCCTCGCCGCTGCCTCCCCTGCACCGTCCCCAAGCTGCTCTGCCACAGCTGCTCCACAATGTCGTCCTCCGACGCTGACGAGTAGAGGCCGCCATCGCGCCATCTCGCCTCTGCTCCGAACCCCTGCCTCGACCTCCACCGGATCCCGTCCTCCATGACGTCCCTCCGGTGCCCCAAGATGTCGCGATCGGTGACAACGACAAACCAGGCCAGTGCTTTGCTGAGCCCCGTCGCAGGGCTCCTTCTTGCTCTGCCGTCCGCCGCAGCGGTGAGCACAGGCCGCCGCTGTGTTGCCTTGCCTTTGCCTCCCGGCTTTGTCCGCGTCCCGCTCGACCCCATGGATGTCAAGTACCTCTATGATGACCATGTACATCTACGACTGTGTACCTCCACGACCACTCGATACGGCAACATCGACTACGTGGGTTCGCCAAGTACCCCAGCAGCAAGATCGATGCCCGAACGACTTCATACCGAAACGGCAAGTTCCTCTCTGAACCATGAATGACTTCCGTTGGAAGAACGAGATCGGCAAGTCCGGAGACTCCAAGTACCACGACAACTCCGAAGGGATTCAGATTCGTCAAGTTCCTCTTCGACACTGTGTACCACTACCGCCGCCCGAACATCTACAGAACTGCCGATGTCGTGAACAATTACTTCCACTACATCACGAGAATGTGAACCACTACTCCCCTCAACGAACTCGAATCATTCTGAAAATGCACCCTTGGAAGGTATAACCGCCGGAACGACGACGTAGACCATATGCATGTGTGTTATATGAGATGCCCTTATTTGCACTATGTCCGAATCTGTAACACCCCAGATGTAAAACTTCCATATTTGGAGATGTATCCAACCTTGTCATGTTCAATACCAAGTGGTTTTCCTCTTTGTGGGTTTCATTTTGGGTTTGCTTTGTTTCCCATTGCATTGTCTTGTCATTACTTGTCATATTTATTTTTGCCATCACATGTTTGCATCATGTTCATATCATGTTGTGTGGTGTTTATGCCATATTGCATTCTCATCCTCACCATGCGCATTGTGTGTTTCATCCATGTTATTTTGTGGCTTGACCCATGTGTGATCCATGCATGAAGTCCTCCTCATCCCTACACCTCTCCCCTTATTTTGGCAAGAAACACAATTTAGCCTCAAATAATGTTCATCTTCTCCCTATAAATCTGGCACCATGCCTTGAACTCCCCAGCCAAATTTCACCTCATTAGAATTGTTTGGGTTGGGTTCAAAAATGCATCAAGTTCGAATTTTATTCAAACATGCTTTATTTTCCTACCTCTAAAATTGTCCATACCAATTTATTAAAATAGGGCATATTTCAGGGAGCTCGGGGATATTTTTGTTTCTGCCAAATACTTCTCCTACCTCCCTGAACTTTTCCTTTTCTACAGTTGTGAATTTAAATTTACAGAATTAAGTAAAAAGGGGAAATACCTCCTAGTGCAGCAACCTAGGCCTTTTCCCTCTAGCTAGCCAGCCCACTTACCTCTTCCATCCCAGTCAACCCACCAGCTAGGAGAGTTGTCCACCTCCTGTACGACGCACATCCAGGGCGCCACGTCGACGAGCTCGGCCATCTGACGGCCGTTCGGCGCCCCTAGCCCCTATATATCATGTCCTAGCCCTAGCCCCAACCTTCCTCGTCCATTTCCACCCCTCTCCTTCCCTCGCCGCTGCCTAGATAAGGATCCACGCGCCTCGCTATCGCCCTGCCCGCCATGCTCCGGCCAAGCTCGAGCTCGAGCACGGGGTAGCCCTCACGTCGCGCCTCCGACCCGTCTGTCGCCATGGAGAGCTCCAAGGCACAACCTCTCTTCGTCCCTATCCACGACCGCGAGCCCAGCACCTCCGAGCGCCCCCCCGTCATCCTCTTCCTCCACTGCTTCACAGACCCGAAACCCCATTAGGTTCAAAGCTCCCTTCCGCCGCCTGCAGCGCGTCTCCGTCGACCTCTTTGTGTCTTAGGGTGAGCTGGGTAATGCACCTCCCTCTCCCTTCCATCCCATGGCGTGTAGACTCCCGTAGGACTCGTCCAATCCATGTTTTTCCCATGCTCATAGTGCTCCAGTGAGGTCTAATGTTTTGTTGCGCATGTATGTGCTATGGCTCGTCCACATGTCCCCGTGCCCCGGTTCCCGCCTAGCTGTAGTCCTCTCGCGCCCCATCCTGCACGCATGCGCTCAAACGCAAGGAGCAGCGGCCTCGCCCAGCCTTGCCGTCCGTACCCGAGACGAGCATGAGCTCGTACTCGAGATACTGCACACATGCCCCCTGCACATAAAAGCTCCAAGCACACGCGCTCCCACACCACTTCCGCACCCCCACCGGTGATCCTCGGCTCTGGTGGATGCTGCTGTTGCTCGCCGGCGACGTCGCCATCTTCCCCGTGCGGTGAGGAAGAAGAAGGCCTGTCCTTTGGGGGCTTCAAAAGGGACTGAGCCATTTACTCACCACGACCTGCCACCTAGGTCAACTGGTCCGATTCTTGACTTGCAATCCAGGAGACCTGTGTTCAGTATTCCATTTCTGTCAATATCCCTTTTAGGCAGGTTATGTTTTGTATATTTGTGATGATTTTTCTACAGTAACCCCCACATATTATATATGTTTTTGGGGTAGAAAAATCCCACCAATCTAGTGGTAGCATTAGTTTTTGCATTTGAGCAAGTTCATGACCATGTCATTTTACATCATGGTACTATTTTGTCTTTTTTGTGTGATTTAATTCAAACATGCTATGGGGTCTTTTGGCACATGTGTAGCTTAATTTTCATGCATACTTCATGCTAGATTTTATTCCATGTCTTTTGGTGCACTGTGATGAGTGTCACAAGCTTGCAAAGTTGCCTTCATGAATCTGCTTAGGCCATGACATGAAATTCTGCTAAGTCTGTAAACAGTCATATCATTTGCCATGTTTTCCTTGATGCTACCATCCATTCTGTGGTTTTTGGATCAAGCTCAATAAGGGAGTTTCATTAAGTGCATTTAGTACTATCATGTCCTGATCCTGTGTAATGTAATATGTTCTTGTAGCATATAGTTTGCTATGCATAAAACTTTGCTACATGATGCTGTTTCTATCCTGATGCATGAATTTCTGCCAAGTCTGATAAGCTATTAACTTTTGCAATTTTGCCGTGTTATTTTAGACTTGTTCTAGGGGTTCTAGCAGTAGCTCAGTGTTCATGATTTGTAGAGCTTCACCTGTACTTCACTGCCATGCATTGCGTTTTCATGTTTGGGTGATGTAGTATATTTATACCTCGCATCTAAGTGGCCATGTTGCTATTTTAACAAGTTTGCATCATGTCTTGCATTGCTTGTCATTTACCAACTGTGCATCCATTTCATGTGATCCTTATACCGATTTTGACCGAAATCACCCACTCTTTCCAATGGCATGCTTGGTTTGCCAAGTTGATGCAATGATCATCTTTTCCCTTCTGGAGTATCCATATGCATCGCACATCATATCTTGCATTCCATGTCATGTCTTGGATCATGTTGCTTGTGCATTGCACCGTGATTGACTGTTGTTCCGTTGTTTGTGTTCTTGCTTTGGGTAGAGCCGGGTAATGATTTCGTGAACTAGGATCCGGTTGAGTATATTTACGAGGAGCTAGCTTTTGACAACTCTGAGAACTTTGCAGGCAAGATGATCATTACCCTCGATATCACTTCTATCTTTGCTTGCTAGTTGTTCATTCTATCGGTATGTCGCACTACCTACCACTTGTTTATCATGCCTCCCATATTGCCATGTCGAGCCTCTAACCCACCTTCCTAGCAAACCGTTGTTTGGCTATGTTATCGTGTAATATCGCAGATTTTCAATTTGGAATGTTATACATAGGTCATCATATGCATATCATAATTTATTTGCATTTTGGCTTTGTGATCCCAAAAATCCTAAGCAACTCAAGGACCCACGGAGAGAGTTGGGGGTTTTATGGTTTTCATATTTGAATTTTCTCAAATATTGAAAAGTGGATCAATTTGATTTTATTATTTTTCTCTCCAAAAATATTTCAAATTAGAAATATATGAGAGGAGATAATAAGACTTCTCCAAAGTAATTGAAATATTGGAAGAAAATTATCAAAATCAAATAAATTATTTTATTTGGATTTTACCACTATTTTATTTGAAATTAGAAAAATATGCATTATTTTAAAATTGCATTTTAGGCCAAGAAAATGTTCACTTTGTTCTGAATATTCTATTTAGACGGTGAAAATTTGTTTTGGTATTTTTAGATTTTTATTTTATTTTCTAGGATTTTTCCGGCGAAATCTGTTTAAAAAACGCGAACCGCCTTAACGGGTCGTGTCCGAACAGGACACTACTGCCCAGGCCTTTATAAGGCGAGGCGAGGCCGCCCCGGCCCACCCAGCCGCCCCGTGCCCCGCCCCAAACCCTAGCCGCCGCTGCCCACCGCCAGCCGCCGCCGCTCGCCGCCACTGTCGCCGGATCCCACCGCCGGAGCCGCCGCCGTTGACCACCGTTGACTGGTCGGTCTTTTTAGTTTAACCCGTTTTTTTAGTTTCACGGTTTATTTTATTTGATCGGTTTTTCGTCGGTTTATTTATTTAACGAACGTTCCTTCGTTTAGATCTGTTAGTGAACAGTTTTCATTAGATTGGTTCTGTTAGCGAACGTTCGTTAGTTTTTTTCTTTTTATTTTATTTTTGGTCAGGGTCTTATCCGCGATTAGTTTTATCGCAGATTAGCCCCTGATTTTCAAATCCTCGTAACTTTTTAACCGTTTGTCCAAATCCAGTGAAACCAACGCCAAAATCTTCGTCTCGAAACCCTCTCTTTCTGTTTAATCAACCTTAACAAGGTTTTGACAATTTAAAAGTTGGTTTCAAGCATATTTGATTTTGAAGTTCTTTTGACCATAGTTTTAGTTCCGTAGCTTCGATTCGATTGATTCTATTTGCAGATCGAATCTCTTCAGTTGAGTTTTTAGATTTGATCTTCTTATTTGAAGTTTTCTCCTTTGCATCTATGCTTGAGTGCTTATGTATGCTATTGTTTGTTTGCGCTAGAATTCCCAGAGTGCGCAGCGTGCTACTACGAGTCACTAGGTTTTGCGGATCATCAGCAAGGCGAGTAACACTTTGATCATATTCCCTTTTATCCAATTTTTATGCATTAGTTTGAGCCCTCAAACATTGCATGAGTAGGATCTCTTAACTTGTGGGTTTGGGAAGTAGATGATGAGGTAGAACCTATTTCCATTTTATTATCAAACCCTTGGGAGTTACTTCTACGTTATGCTTATATTGCCATGCTATGCTCATAGA